TGGTGCCCCTCTGGGATGCTGGCACTGCAGGTAGTGGCTTTATTCTTTATGCCACAGCAAGCCCGTAAGACTTTTCTTAGGCTGAGTTTATTGGTCTACTTTCTTATCTGGCCTGAATTAGGTGGATTCCTTGGGCCATCATTCACCAGCACCTCCATCCGTTGGCTCCTTTGTCAGCGCACTTCCTGTGTCTAGTGCTGATTCACTCTCTCCATTGTCTGTAATGGCTGGGGTGGGACCAGGCTGGGGCCAGGAGTCCTCCTGGTGCGCCTATGGGTGCCAGCAACGCATTGCAGGCAGCAGCTTAACTTGCGGCTCCACTCCCTTTTAGATGTTAGCCTTCGTTAAGGTCAGCTGTTTCTGTTCTAGCTATTTCACTTCACGGGTTTGTTACTATGTCTTGAAGACGCCCAGAATCTTTTTTTTTTTTTTTTTTTCCGATTTACTAATTTGAAAGAGTTATAGGGAGTGGCAGATTCCATCCACTTGTTCACCCTTCATTGGCTGGGCTTGGCCAGGCCAAAGTCTGAAACTCTATCCGAGTCATCCACGTGGCGTGGCAGGGGCCCAAGTTGGGCTACCTTTTGCTGCTTTCCTAGACAGATTATCAGGAAGCTGGCTTGAATCGGTGCTCGTATGGGACACCAGTGTTGCAGGAGGCTCTTTAACCTACCAAGATCATGCATGTCTATCTTGATTTCTGCTCTAACTCAACTCCTGAATCCAGCAACCTATTAGTCAGCTAGTCCTGGGTGTCCTAGGGGACACCTTGAATTGAGCTTTCTGCAAAAATCCAATGCATCATCTTTCTTGCAGATTTGTTCTTTCCTGGGACATAGCATTGGCATCTAGCAACACAAACCGGAGAGCTAGTTTCTAACCGGACTCCTTTCTTCTCCCAAGCCCCACATTCCACAACTGACTGTATTCAGAGTTTGCCTCTTGGATCTGTTCACTCTCTTCCTGGTCGTTACCCAGGTCCTAGTCCTTTCTTATTCACAATGATTTTGACAGCATGATAAACTGTCTTGCTGTGCATCCAACCAGCTAGGTGGAATGTTGAACAGATTCCTCCACCCAGGGATTTTATTCTTACTCCAAACCTACTTTGTTCCAAACTGAACTCATCTTTCTTATCACACAACCAAACTCCCTCTCAAGTTTTCCATCTCATTATCAGCTCAACTAACTACATACATTTTACTGCTGCGATCTCATCCGCACACTGTATACAGTGAGGAAGATGAACCTATACAGCCTATTTGATCATACTATTCCGTGGAAAAAAATCAGCAGCAGCTTCTTCCTGCCTGCAGGATAGAGTCCAAAGGGCCTGTTTGCTGAGCTCTGGCTTCCTTCTTCCTCTCTCTGGCCTCACCCCTTGCATGCTTGCCAGGCTACTCCTTCAGCTGCTACAGTGTAACCCCTCTTTTTGGAGTCTTTTTGCATAGGGGGTCTTCTCCCCCAGGAGCCCTTTCACCCCGTCTTGCAGAACAGATCTGACTCCTCAGATTTCAGCTTTGAGGCTACTTTCAGTGAAAGGATTTTCCTCTTTTCTCCACCACCCCTTTAAACTGGATGGGTGTCCCTATTCGGTGCTTCAGGGCATTTCAAAACCCCCCTCTTAGCACTGAACCCCTGGATTCTAACTGCCCTCACACAGGTTACACGCTCTCAGAGGACAGAGACCATATTTTATGTGCTATTTAGTCCCTGTAGTAAATGCCTCTGTTTAATCATTACAGCCCTTTATGTTTGCATGTTGCAGATAAGATGGAAAGAGGGTTGTATAACTTTTTCTAAAGGCTGATTTATTTCAAAGGCAGAGTAACAGAGAGACTATTTTATCCACTGGTTTTCTTCCTAGTGATCACAATGCCCAGTCTGAGCCGGGCTAAAACCAGGAACAAGAACTCCATCTGAGCCTTGTACATGGATGGCAGGGCCCTAAGTACCTGGGCCATCCTCCATTGCCTTTCCCAAATGCATTAACTGGGAGCTGGACTGGCAGTCAAGCAGGCAAGACCCAACTTGTCCAGAATTATCAAAACGATTTAAAACCAGGCAGCCTAGTGACTGGAACCTGTCCTCCCCTGAATCCATTTGCTCTGCCTAGATCTGTTCTTTGCAGTCCCTAGTGGTTGCTAGCCCTGCCTGCCTTCCTGGCATGGCTTCCAGCCATTGTCCAGGACACACCTGACCAGCTACGGCAAACACCCTCACCCTCCTCCGAGTGTGCTTCCTTCTCCACCCTGCTTTCCTGGAGCCATTCTATTCATTTTTTGGAATTTATTTCATAAAACTTCCCAACTTGTTTCCCCATCCTTGGCCGTCCATGGGGCGAACCCTGCCTCTATTCTCTATTCTCTGTGACTTGGGGTTTTAGCAAAGTTTTTTTGCTCTAGTGTTTTTTTTTTTTCTAACATCTTCTTTTGCCTCCCTCAGCTTTCTCATTTGTGTAATAAGGATGGTTAAGATTTCATAGAGCTATGAGGATTAAATGAGAGCATGTAAAACAAGCATAGTCTTCAAAATATTTAACAATTTAAAAAAAATTTTAAGAGATGTACTTAATTCTTTGAAAGGCAGGATTTTGAGAAAGGCAGGCAGAGACAGAGAGAACCTTTCACTTATGGGTTCATTCCCTAAATGGCCCACTCAATTCTTTGGGACAGAAAGCTTTTAGAGAATGCATAGCTACTGGAACTGGCTCCAATTGCTCCACCAGCAAGGCCAGCACCAATTAGAGTCCCGTTTGTTTCACTTCTGATCCCACTACCTGCTAATACACTTGGGAAAGCAGAGGAGGATGGCCCAATTACTTGGGCCCCTGCACCCACATGGGAGACTTGGAAGAAGCTTCTGGCTCCTGCCTTCAGACTGGCCCAGCTCCAGCTGTTGTGGTCATTTGGGGAGCGAACCAGCACATGGAAGACCTCTCTTTGTCTCTTTTTCTCGCTCTGTAACTTTGTCTTTCAAAAAATAAATCTAAAGAAACCAAAAGGCAACAAAAACAAAACACATGAAGAGTGTGTGCATGCCCTCACCTCTTCTTTCTGGGCTCCATCTTGTAGCAGCAGCGAGGAGGTGCCACGGGTCAGCTGCTAATACGCAGCTGTTTGTCTGCCCGCAGGAGCTCCACACCCTTGAGGTGACCAGCCAGGAGACTGTGGCCCAGGTCAAAGCTCACGTGGCCTCCCTGGAGGGCATCGCCCTGGAGGACCAGGCTGTGTTGCTCATGGGCACCCCGTTGGAGGATGAGGGTGTCTAGACCCAGTGTGGGGTGTAGGCCCTAAGCACGCTAGAGGTGGCTGGACACATGCTGGGGGTGGGTGGGTAAAGTCCATGGCTCCACGGGGAAATGTGTGAGGTCAGGCTCTGATGGTGGCAAAGCAGGAGAAGACGATGACGGGCCGGGCCATGCGGAGCGTGCAGTACAACCGGCACTTCGTCAACGTGGTGCCCACCTTCGGCAAGAAAGGTCCCAATGCCAACTCCTAGGGTACCCTCGCAGTCCTCGCGCTAATAAAGCCACTCTGCCCGCCAAAACAAAATACAACACACGGCTACGACAATGAGCAAGAAGAGCTATTTAAAGCATTGCTGAAAGAGTTGTCTGCTTGCTAAGCTCTACAGTACAGGTGTGAAGGGCAATGAGTGGCAATTTTAAGAAAAAGTTTTATTTTGATTTGGAAGGTAGACTGATAGAAGGAGATATATTTGCAGAGAGCTGAATTAGAAGTGGAGCAGCAGGGACACAAGCCAGCACCTATACGGGAATGCTGGTGCTGCAGACAGAGGATTAGCCCGGCCACTGGCCCCACGAGTGAAGGAGTTAGAGAAACATCTTCCATGTGCTGGTTCACTTCCCCAGATGGCCACAACGGTCAGGCTGGGAGCCAAGAACAACATGGGCATCCCATAGGGGCACTGTTAAGAGTCCTGGTTATTCATTTGGATGCAGCTCCCTGAGAATGCACCCTGGAAGGCAGTGGCTAATGGCCCAAGTGCTGGGTCCCTGCCACCCATGTGGGAGACCCAGATGAAGTTCCTGACTCCTATAGTCATCTAGAAAGTGAACCAGAGGATGGAAAACCTCCCAACCCTGCTGCTCTGCTTTTCAAATAATCCTAAATAAAAGGAAAAAAACAAAACAAAAAGCTCACTAACCCACCACAAATATCACACCGTGTTCCCAGTTACATGGCTCCACTCCAAGTGGAGGAGTGTGCATTTGGTCCTGCAGGTGAGAGGCTCTTGGGGACACCAGAACCCCAAGATGAAGCACCTGGGGTTTGCCAAGCCTCCAGTTTGAGTCCAGCTTTCTGCCAACAGAGAAGCTGGGGTGGTTGTGAGCACCCCAGTGGTCAGGGTCCTGCCATCCAGGTGGGAGACTTGGATTAAGTTCCTGGCTCCCAGCTTTGCCAACTTTTTGCCTGGCTCTCCATCCAGCTGTGGGCATTTGGGGAGTGGGCAAGCCAGCCAACTGGAGCTATCTAGTCTCAACCTCTCAAATAATTAAAAAAAAATTAAAAATGGTTAGGATGCTAGGGAATCCCCTGGCTAAATCAGGAGAGCGCAAATGAGCACAGCCCCAAAGAGGTGGAATTTTATTTGGAAGGAGGGTTTTACACTAGGGAGGGAGGAACTGATGAGTTGCACACCAAGGGCAACGTTCCCTCTGCAGTTAGAGGTAGTCCCTCCACCCCGCCCAGTACAACAGGGTTTTTGAATAGCTGTTTCCTTGAAGCACACTCCTTTGAGCAGTCAGTCCCGCTGCGGAGTAGAGCATGCTCATTAATCGCAGTAGGGCTAAGCCAGCAGGTAGCTGCAGCCTGCCAGGGGTGAATGGTGGGCAGGGTGGGGTAGGGCTGCTTTTGTAGGCTGTTTGTCCTTTGGTAACACATTAACAGCTTTTATGCCTTTCAGCCCCTGCACTGGCTCTGGCAGGCGAGGCCCGGACGCCAGTCACAGAGAGGTCACTCTGCCTCCTGCTGGCCATAAGCAGAACAACCTCAGTGTCTTAGGGTCTATTACTAAAGGGTCCTGTTTGTCCTTCACCCACAGGGAAACCTACCCAGGAACAGGAGACTGAGAGGGAAATAAAGCACTGGCTTTTGTTTGTTTGCTGAGCTTGTAGTAAGCTTTGTCAGGTGTCAGTAAGCCGTCCGCACCCAAGTCCTTCAGTCGCTCACTTGGGGAGCCACACCCTGAGGTGGCTGCATCCCAGTGGTAGCTGTAAGAACCTCTCCCTAAGGGACAGAGTGCAGAGCCTGGACACACTAGGTGCTTTCAGTATGGTTTTTCTTCCCTTGCCCAAAACCCCAATAAAACACACCAATTGCTTTGGAGGATTTCCAGGTTGGGTTTTTTTCTTTTGGTGGGTCTTTATTATTATTATTATTATTATTATTTCAAATGCTGAAAAAGTCCACTGGCCTCTGTGGGGTTCCGCATGCTCACGGCTCTTTTCCCCCACCACATACTCCCTTGTCCCCGTAACAGACTTCCAGGAGAGTAGCACTTTTCTCAATGGCCCAGTTAACACCGCCGACCTCGGCTAGCTCTGCCCGAGTGGAGGAGCTGTCTGCACGGGTGTGTCGACAGCTTCCTTCACAGGACACGGTGTCTCCAGCCACAGCCAGAGCAGGCATGTTTCTACAGGGCTGAACTAGAGCCCCGTGCCCCCAGTCCATCCGCCTCCCCCCTCATAAACCACCCCACACCAGCTGCTGCAGCGTCAAGAGGGAGGAAAGTCAGAAACGTTTTCATCAACTTCCCAGCCATAGCTCATATTCCCCCGGAATCTCCCACCCCATTCCATTCCCAGAATTTCACTGAGATTTTTTTCCCCCAAATTATTTAGGAAAAAAAAAAAGGTGAAACAAAAAAGGGTTCAAGGTCTTGGGGCTCGGCCCCAGGGGCTCCATGCGCGAGACAGCAACAGGCAGGGGCTTCTGCCTCTGCAGCCCGCCCCTGGGCCACCTCCGGGTCCCTGGCTGCAAAGGCAGAGAGGGGACGGGAGCCAGCGCTGGACCTGGGGTTGGGGGGCCACGTCTCAGCATCTGGTGGAGCCTGGGGCAGCATCACTCCACTTGGCCACTGTGGACAAACAGAGAAGAAAGAAAAGAACAAACAAACAAAACAAACAGGTCAAGTAATAGGGGAAAAGCCCTGAATTCCATCCCAGACTAACCCATGACCTCTTGATCACCTCTAGGTTACCTGGCATAATGAAGTTGCAAAAGATAAAAACAACAAAAAGCAAACAAAAAAAATTAAAAACAAAAATAACCACCTAAAATATTTTAGTCTTTTTCTACCCACAAGACAGCGTTTTCTGCATTTTGGAACGATGCGTGGAAAACAAACACAGACAAGCAACTCTTCAGACAAGATCCAAATTCCTGGAGGTCTCTAGGCGAGGCCAGCTGTGGCCATGCCCACTCACAGCACGGAGGCTGACGGGGCGGCACCGTGAGGTGGTGCTCACTGCACCGGAGGCCGAGGCCAGACCACAGACAAGGTATTCTGAGTGCATTTAGTCATTTAGGCCTCATCAAAGGGTTCAGCATTTGGATGTGTACAAAGACCCTTCCTCCCTAAGGATATTAGGCAAACAGGCGGGGTAGGGAGGGGCAGAAGGAGGCAGAGACAGCAGGCAGGGGGTGGCAACGTAGTCTTAGCCTTGAAGATGACTAGAGACCAGAGTGAGAGCAAAGGTCCCCCTGCTCCTTTGCTAACATCAGACTTATCGTGTGTGCCTGTAAATCTTGAGGACTCAAAACAGACGGATACAGCAGGTAGCCGACACAAGAAAAAAAAAAAATAGAAAAAAAAAAGTACAGAATTCGAGAAGATCAGAGATGAAGAAAACGTACAAAATTATATATATATTTATATATATAATAACATGACATATTTATGTACAACATGGTTGGGACAGTCAAGGAAAACTATACAATGAGGTTCAGCATTTTCCCCTTCCCACACGGACTTTCGATTCAGGATGACAGCATGAGGAAATGGAGCAAGAAACACACACATTATATATACACTTACAAGGGACAGTCGAGGGACTTGGGCGTCAGGGAGCCTGCTCGCTCTGGGCGTCTCTCACCGACACAGCCTGATCAAGCCAACTGGCCAGACAGGCGAGCAGCGTGCGCACGCACCTCCCTCATATACACCAGGTCTCCTTCCCCGCTGGGCCAAATACTTGGCATTTCAGAATTTGTGACGTCAAGGGGCAAGAGAGCACGAATCTTACGTTTTCTTCCCAATGGTTAGTTCTCACCCTGGCCTTCTTGCAAGCAGGTGGCAGTAACAAGATTCAGCCACGAGGCCGAAGATGCTGCTCACCTGAAGCCCCCTTTCCTCCACCTGCGCAGGAAGTCGCATCGGCCTCCCCTCCTTCCTGCAGGAGAGTTCTACAGCAGGTCGGGATTTCTGTCTTCCCCTTCCTCCCCACAGCCACTCTCCTCGGCTTCCTCCACCGTGAACCACCTCCTAAAGCCTGCTGCTGCCGCCCCGCTGTGGCCCGTGGCCCTAAACCCAGGGGGTCAGGGGGGCTAGCTCAGCTGAACCCTTTCCGTTCTCTCTCCCTGACAGGCAGCCCAACTGCAGTGGACACCAGCTCTCCACGTGAACAGGGGCCAGTGTGCTTTCCCGCAGGCCAAGCACTTGGCCACCAGAGCAGTTCTCAGGCAGCCAAGGTCCAGCTGGGGTCTGTGGGCAGGCAGCAGGAGGGCTCCACGGCCAGCTCCTGAAGAACCTGACGCCCAAGGCTGTGATGTGCTGCTGCCTCAATTTATAACCCTGACTTGGCAACATCCTCCACCCTCATGGAACCCTCTGTAGCTCCCCTCTGGGCATCCATAGTGTTAGGGGGCATGGGCTCACCCACCAGCCTTTCTCACTGCAACACTGCAGTCCTCTGCTGGAGGCTCCAGGCTTAAGAGAAGTCAGGATCAATGTTACATATATTTAATAACTCTTCATACAGATGAGGCAATGGGACTCCACAGAGGTAACGGGACTTGACCATGGATGAACCCTGAACTGCTGAGGCCCCAGGGGAACCAGGGCCCCTTCCCTCCCACTGTCTAGACTCCTAAATCAGTGCTCTTTGCACTACCCCAGGGCACTTTCAAAAGCAGCAGGAAAGAGGAAAGAGAGAACGTGCCCATTTTCAGTCCATGACGTCCACCTTGTCTTGCCGTTCTACGAGAGCCAGGGCCATCTGTGGGCGACCCTAAGGTGAGGTGGGCACTGCAGCTCCAGGCAGATCACTCGGTCCTCCTGCCCATAATGAACACACGAAGCCATAGCAGCCCAAGACAAAACACTCAGAAGCACAGAAAACACACCCCTTTCCCAAGCACGCTGCGTGGCCTGCGCTGTCCAACCTGCCATCTATGACTCCCAGGGAGCAGCTGGAGCACTGCTACGGTAGTGTCTTCCAAAAGAAGGCACCTCTCTTCCAGTTTCTCACGAGAGAGAGAGAGCTTGCAAGCCTTATCCTATCCCATCCTGGTCTTGCCTGTTTTCAGGCCCCACCTGGGCTACATGGAGGGTGTGGAAGTCTCGAATGAACCAAAGACGTGAACCCCAGAGGCCCTCTTCAACCCACATTCCCTTCGCAGCGGCCCCCAGCAGCAGCAGCAGCAATAGCACTTTTGGGTTAACAAGCTGGGAGGAACTGACTAGCTGCCCAATTCCATCTCTGCCTACAATATACAAAGTCCAGTGGGTGAGGAAGGGGAGGGAGGATGGACCAGGTTACCCCGCGAGCTTGCTGGTGACGAGCGAGGACTTTCTCTGGGGCAGATCCTGTGGGGTGGGGATGTGGTCGCCGGTAACCAGGTTCTTGTCCGGTCCTGCGCTTGGCAGCTGCTTATTCTTCATCTTGGCTTTGGCCATGTTGTAGTCTCCTGAGTCAAAGTACTTTTGCTAAGAGAGAAGCAGGAAGACAGAGGTGAGAGCGCGGCCCTGGGCATCCTCCAAGGCAAGAAGACAGAACCAGATACAAAGAACCCAAACACACACTGGCCCAGGAGGTCGCCTTTGCTTAACCTCCCACAGGCGGAGTTTACCACGCATTACGCAGGCGGAATGTCTTCTCTCCTCTGGCCTTCTGAGGCATGTAGGCAGACTCCTAGCGGTGTGTGCGTGTGTATATGTATATACATATATATGTATTTTTTCCCCCAGAATCCAGAGATAACCCCTACATCCTGGGTTACCCTCCCAGGTTCATCCAAAGTTACTTCACTCTTAAAGGCTTACTGAAGACCTTACTAGAGTACAAAGTCAAAGACTGGTGCTAAGGAAACACAAATTAATTAAGATGGACAGGAAGGAGGCTAGCCTAGCCTTTGACACACTGAATTAAAGCCCGCAACTTAAAAAAAAAAAAATCCTGCTCTTAGCCTAGAAATAGAAACTAGGCTTGCTGGGGCGGGTGTGTGTCACATGCCGCCTCCTGCCACTCCCACACCCACCCCACAGCCTGGACAGCCTGCCCACGCCTGTCTTGCCTGCAGCAAGGTAAGCAGCAAATGCGTTCTCCTCTATGACTAAGATTCAGGCCAGATTGAACTCCTCACGGCTCCCACCCAAAGTGCCCACTCGAGTTTAAGGACATACAGTTCCCGCTGCTGCCTCCTGCTGCTCCTTGGGGCTGTGTATGTGGGCAGGAACAGCCAGCCTCCTGAGGGTGTCTACTGGAGGGTCGGAAGAAACCCACTCACCTCAAGCTGAGGGTTCCCAGACAATTCCCCCTCTTCCTTATAGGCAGCCCTTCATGTTTACCTCCACTCAAGAAGCTCACGCCCCAAACAGGGAAACCACCTGCAGCGCTGTCTGCACCCCAGGCTTGCCTCACATATCCAAATGCCCCCCCACAAAGTCTTAGCATCCTAGATGGGAAAGCAGTCGACGACTGCTACAGTCATCAGGGATTTACAGAAATATGCCTTGCTCTTGCCAAGTTTCTAATTCCTGCCACTGTGTAACAAAGCATCCAGCACAGGATCTCCAGGGTCTACTCCAGCCCTGAGGAATATGGGGCAGAGCCGTGTCCTACCCCTTTCTGGAGTCTCTTCATGAGGAAGTCCGAGCCGCCCGGCTTTTGTCCCAGGCTGGGGTATTTGGCCTTTAGCTTTGCTTCCTCTGCCCTTTCAGGGAGAATACCTTCCTTCTCTTGTGTGTCCTGGAAGAGACAAATGGACCAAACAGAATTAGAGGCCCAGAAACAAATGCTTACAGGACCCGATCACTTTCACTGGAAACCCATCCACTCACTGGTACACCCTGCTAGCCCAGCTGCCCTGATGGCCAGACCTTTGCTCAAATCCCCAAAGTCCAACATGACTGTCTATCTAATGAGAACCCAAAGACACACTGCTTCTCACCCTTTGTCCAGGCAGCCACCTCCCAGTGACATGGCAGCACCGAGTTAAAGGTAATCACTGAACACCACAGTCACGGGGCGGTCCCGGCTCACACAGCACAGACTCCGGGAGAGACACGAATTAGAGTAATAATTAAGAGCTGACTGGGACTGCTCGTGACACAAGATGAGCAGCAGGTTTGCCAGGCTGCCCCACAGGCCAATGGGAAAAGGCTAAGTCAGCTGAGCCTTATCAAGCCAGCTGGGCAGGCTCCCTGGGTGGCCTTCCCCAAGCACCTGCAAGGCCATATTTCCCTAAGGACTGTGGTGGAAAGGTGACAGGGATGAGAATGCTCCGGGGGAAAATGAATTCAGAGACGCCCCATGTTTATTAGTCTTTTCCTATCATTTTTCACGCATAGCCACCCCAAGGGGGGAAAATGACGGAGCCTGGAGACATGCCAAGAGCTGGACTGGCTTGCTGCCCGCTGCCGAGTCCCAGGCAATTTTTTTTTTTTTTCTAGAACGACCTGCAATCTAGGGGTGGCTCTTTGCAGTGACATTTCATTCTCTCCCCTTAAAACAAGGCATCCACGCAACGTCATCATTTCCTGAGTCCTCGCATCCGGTACTGAACGCTGGAAGTGAGATACAAACCCCAAAGGTTTACTTGGTGCCTGTGTTTTCATCACAGAATGGCAGGTGAACCCAAGCCCCACTGCCTTGAAGTCTGGGGGAAGAAGCCGGGGTGTCTGCGGTCTCCTGTCCGGGCCTAACTTCTGTGATACTTGTAACTCTAATCCTGCTCAATCAGCTCGGTCCTGACACAGGGCGAACTATAGACCACCTCAAACAATCTAAATAAGGTCCCTTTTGACAAAGTTGCTGCCTTGAGCTAGCCACCTTTATGACTCTCTTCTCCTCCCCTAATGCTGGTCTTTCGTAGACATCTTTACGTCGGCTTGTACCTTCCCGCTGCAGGAGGACGCGCAGCCCCAGCCGAACACCGGGATCATTAACCTCCACTAACCCCTGACCCGCTAGGCCCACCAGCCCCTTTCATTCACCTCGTCTTTCCAAACACCCGCCCCAAACCCCTGCTAAGCCAATCACAGCGCAGCTTCCAGGGTTTGAGCAGTAGGTCCACTGGCCAATCAAGAAGGGCCCGGCACTAACTGACAACCAACTCAACTAATCAGTGCCGGAGCACCCGTGCCGTGCCGACGCTCGCCCTGCGTGACGCCAGAAACCGCCAACCCCTGCAGAGCCTGAGACCATGGCGACCAATCCGCACCGGTGAGAGACCGTCTCCCGCCCCCGCGGTCGCCCCCGGCTCGCCCGCCCGCACCCCCTCCATTTCACCTGCTTCTCCTCGCCGGTCTCCTCCGCAGGGTTCTCTTCTTCTTGTTTCTGGGACATGGCGGGGCCGGGGCTGCAGAGTGCAGGGGGGGCCCGGGAGAGCGACCAGAGAAGGGAAGGGGGAGGGGAACGGGGCAGCCTGCGCTGCTGCTTCGGCTCCTGTCACTAGGGCTGCTCAGCCAAAATGGCGGCCTTGCCCGTGACGTTGCGGCCGCCTGGAGCAGCCAATGGGAATGCGGGAGAGCGGGGCCATGACGTAACTGTCTACCAATAGTGGCTGGCTAAAGGCGGGCTCTAGGGAGGAGACGGACAAGCCGGAAACACCAACCGGGAAAGAGAGTGAGGCGCTGGGGCCAATCGGAAGCTTGCGGGGGATTCTGAGGGCGGGACGTCTAGCGAGGGTATCTTTTGCTGCTTTAGTGGGTTCCACCGCCCGCGTTTTGCAGACGTTGCAGGCGTCGTGACAGGAGGACGTGGGTCCCAGCCCCACAGTGCTGTGTGGGACGCCGTTTGTGCTGCGTGTTTTAAACCTTACGAGAGCTCTGGTATACATATATCTTAAGGACTTGCCATATAGGCTCTTTTAAAGATTTTATTTATTTTTATTGGGCAGGCGGATATACAGAGAAGAGGAAAGACAGAAAGATCTTCCGTCTGCTGATTCATTTCCCAAGTGGCCACAGAGGCTGGAACTGAGCCCGTCTGAAGCCAGGAGCCAGGAGCTTCTTCCAGGTCTCCCACACAGGTGCAGGATGGCTTTGGGCCATCCTCGACTGCTTTCCCAGGCCACAAGCAGGGAGCTGGATGGGAAGCAGGGCTGCTGGGATTAGAACTGGCACCCATATGGGATCCCAGTGCATCATGCAAGGCGAGGATTTTAACCACTAGGCGATTGAGCCGAGCCCTGATCTTAAAACTGACAACACAGGCTTGGTTTTTTGTTTGTTTGTTTGTTTGTTTTCAGTTTCATTTTATAAGATTTTATTTGAGGTGGGTCTAGTGGGATGGCTCAATTGGCTGATCCTCTCCTTCCACTCGCTGGTATCCTATCTGGGCTCTGGTTCAAGTGCCCTGGCTGCTCCACTTCCCATCCAGTTCTCTACTTACGGCCTGGAAAAGCAGGACCCTCCACACACATGGGAGACTCTGGAGAAGCTCCTGGCTCCTGGCTTTGGATCAGCTCGGTTCCAGCTGTTGCAGCCTCTTGGGGGAGTGAACCAGCGAATAGAAGAGCTTTCTATGTCTCTCTTTCCTGTAAATCTGTCTTTCCAGGAAAAAAAAAAATCAGTCTTGAGAAACAGAAAGAGAGGGAGTGAGAAAGGAGGAGACAGAGATCTTTCATTCTATGATTCATTCCCCCAGCTAGCCACAAGCAAGTCAGGAGTTTAGCCCATTTTCTGCCTCCCCGGTGTGTTAACAGAGTGCTGGATCTGAAGCCGAGAGCAGTTGGGACTCGACCAGGTGCTGCGATAGGATTTGTGGGTCTTCCAAGTGGCAGCTTGCTATGCCACAATGCTGGCCCACGGAGGTACACCTAGAAAGTGATTCCCACATACTGTGAAATCAGGAAAGATTCAAAAGGAAAGTGCCTTTTTTAGGGGTTCAAAGGAAGGGTTGTCCTCAGTTTAGGATGTAAAAATAATCTTCACAGCAAAATTGATATTTGAAGTGAACTTTAAAGGACTTGGGAGTTTTCTAGGGAAAGATGAAAGCCAGTAAGGTATAAAGGTCATAGGCATTGCACGGAGTCTAGGAAAGTTGATCTGAGGCCAGTGGATGAAGGGCTTTGAATGACAGGTAAAGGGTTTGTGAATAGCTCAATAATCAGCGAAAAACCTTGAAGGGTTTTAGGCCTGAAAGTGTCAGATCACTGTTCTTCCAGAAGGTAAATATTATCAGCAAGTGAGCACTGAGAATTCTAAGCAGAGAGACCCCAGAGCTGGATAGTCCAGCTGCAGTTCCGCAGAAAACTTTCTTGGGGTTTTACTTAACAACCGTGCTAGTGAAGACTAGAGACCTGCTGGTCACTGGAGACACCTGTGAGGGTTGAAGACAGCCCACGCCTGGCTGAGAGAGCCTGTGTGCCGGTAGGCAGTAAAGAAGAGGCCTCAGGCCTGGCATAGTGGCCTAACGGCTGAAGTCCTCACCTTGAACGTGCCGGGATCCCATACAGATGCCAGTTCTAATCCCAGCAACCCCACTTCCCTTCCAGCTCTCTGCTTGTGGCCTGGGAAAGCAGTCGAGGATGGCCCAAAGCCTTGGAACCCTGCACCAGTGTGGGAGACCTGGAAGAAGCTCCTGGTTCCAGATCAGCTCAGCTGTGACAATTGCAGCCATGTGTGGAGTGCCATGGATCTGCCCCTTAATGCACATTAGTGGGAACTGTAGCCTAGTTGGGGCGGCTTAATAAGTACTTTTGGTTTTTTTTTTTAAGATTTATTTTATTTTTATTGCAAAGTCAGATATACAGAGAGGAGGAGAGACAGAGAGGAAGATCTTTTGTCCAATGGTTCACTCCCCAAGTGACTTTAATGGCTGGAGCTGAGCCAATTCGAAGTCAGGAACCAGGAGCTCTTCGAGCTCTCCCACTAGGGTGCAGGGTCCCAGGGCCTTGGGCTGTCCTCCACTGCTTTCCCAGGCCACAAGCAGGGAGCTGGATGGGAAGCAGGGCCACTGGCTTAGAACCGGTACCCATAGGGGATCCCAACGCATGCAAGATAAGGACTTAGCTGCTATGCTAGTGCGCCAGGCCCTGTACCTGGATTTTTGCCACACACTATGGAGACCTGGCCTGGGTTCAGTGTTCCTGCTTTGGCGTGTCCCAGTCCTGGCTATCGCAGGCACTTAGGGAGTGAATCAATGAATCTTGTCTCTTTCATTCTATCTTTCAAATTAAAAGGAGAGAGAAAGAAAGAAAGAGCCTTTTCAAAGGCAGACCATGTGTGAGAGATGTCTGCACAGACAAATGATATTGCAAATGGGCGGTACATGTGAGGAGAGAACCAAGGCTGAATCTTAAATTACTGTGTGAGAAGGGCGATATTGTTTACTGAAATACAAAAAACAGGTCCAACATGGGATGAAGAGGTTAAACAGTGAGAGAAGACCTAAACTTTTATATTCAGTCTTTTGGTCTGTATTTTTATTTCTGAATTCATTTAGTTAAAGCGTAAATCCTTCCAGGATATCAGATGAAATATAAAATTAAAGCAGCATTCTATAGAAGAGCAACTATTAAAGAAAATGTCGAGGTGAATGTTTGGTCTGGCTGTTCAATGATGCTTAAGATGCCTGTCTCAGGGCCAGCACCATGGAGTAGCATAAGCCTCTGCCTATAACATCCCATATGGACACTGGTTCAAGTCCCAGCTGCTCCACTTCCTATCGGAAAGCAGCAGGGATGGCCCAGGTTCTTGGACGCCTGTGTACACATGGGGGACCTGGAGGAAGCGCTGACCATTGTAACCGTTTGGGAGGTGAACCTGCAGGTGGAGGATCTCTGTTTCTGTCTCCCCTTCTCTTGGTGTAACTCCACCATTCAAATAAAAAAAAATATATTTTTTAAAATTATGCTTGTGTTTATGACTTTATGAAGAACTGTGCTATAGTAATAATGTTAAAGGAGCTCAGTTGTGGGAGCTGACTTGGTGTGGGGATAAGGGAAATCCCAAGGCCTATGGAACTATCATAAAATGATAATAAAAAACATTTGTAAACAAAAAAGTCATTAGATGGGGAAATACAAAAGCTAATATTAATATAAGAATTAAAAGCAAAAGAGGCTTTTCCCAATCAGAGTGCTTAAGTTCAAGCCCCAGTTCCCTGTAAGTACTGTTACACTGGAAGCCAGCAGGTGATTAAGCACTTGGGTCCCTGGCACCCGCGTGGAAGACCTAAACTGAGCTCCTGGTAAACAACTTTGGCTAACATGGTCCTGACCTTCCATCTGGGGTGTGAACCAGCAGATGGCAATTCTTTCTGTCCTTTTACTTAAAAAAAAAAGACTACAGTGATAACTGGATTTAAAACGCGTAGCAGTAGCGCCCTCTGATGGGCATGACTGAGAATGCTGGGAAATGAAGCAACCCTGTCCTGTCTCCTTTACAAGTTTGTACGCTCAGGGCTGGCTGTAAGTGTGGCCTAAGGATGTAGTTGTCTGTGTGGCCAGAATTGTCCTGTGAAAGAACGCAGGACTTTCTCAAAGAGAAAAGCACAGCTCGTAAAATCGAGGGAACTAGTAAGATGTTAAAGGAATTCAAAAGAGAATCTAAGACGCGTACTATAGGTAATTTGAATCCTGAATGCTGAAATGAATTGGCAAATGCATATAAAATTGGTCCATCTTCACAGGATATAATTTTAATGATTGGGATCATCTCTTTCAAAGGGTAGAAATCAATTGTATCGCATTTGACAGTTCACTGGTATCTGTATGGAGTCATTGGCACGGCCATCAGTTTTTTGAATTTACAGAGTTGTGGAATACTTCAAAGATGCTGAAAGGGACAGGTCAGATAATTTCAAAGACTCCTCTCTCCAGTGTTTGGCCCACATCAAAGTCTTACAAATTTTCCCCCTGAGAACAGAAAAGCCTTTCTTATCAGCATCTCACTCTGCCTCAGACTGCACTGATGTTCCAAGTTAAAACCACAAATCTCTACTGAGAAAAGCAACAAGATCCACTGTGGTATTAAACTCAGAAGTAATCAGATGCGCTTTAATTAGCAGCCACACTGTGACGTAAGAGTCCACTGAGGGCTCTGGAGAAAAATCCCAGACAGGGAAAGGAAGAAATCCACTTAGCATCTGTGGTGAGTAGCCAGGGTGACAAGGGCTGTATTAAAAGACAGTTGGCCAGAGAGGAGTCACTCGGGACACAAAGGGCCGGTCACTAATGACACTGAACGTGGCCTGTGGAGACTTGGGGAGCAGCGTTAGCACAAAGACTTTCATGTTAGCCCAGAGGGAGGAGGAGGCGGGGATGGGAGGACCAGCCTAGCTGACACTGCAGCTGGGTTTCTTGGGCAGCCGACAGGTGCGTGATCTGTCTTCCAACCTGGGTTTCCTCTCTCCGCTCTCCGTCCCTCCCACTTTCCCCTCGCCCTCTCTTCCTTCTTTCAGATTCTCTAGACCTCCTCTTCCCAATTTCTTTTCTTTTTCCTTTCAACCTTCTAAGAGCTTTCCTTCAAACGTTCTCCTAT